TATATTATTTTTAAATAAAAAATGGATCATTTTGTCTAATTAACAAATTTTGTCTTTTAAGATAATATGTTTTTTAATTATAAATTAATGTACAAAAAAAATATTATAATCACTTAATGTTATTAAAGGTAAAAAAACAAAATTGAAATTTATTAGATAATTATTAATTAAAAAATGTGATCACAAATTAAAAAATTGAAATTGATAAATTTGTAAATAAAATTAAAAAATTTTAATCCGTTAGCGGTTTGTTATAAAAAGCTACATAAACTAGCTTTTTCAATCCATTAGCAGTTTGGACTCTAACCGCTATCCGCCAATTTCAAATCGCTAAATAAAAATTTTACTAAACACTTTATTTATAGCGATTTCGAAATATATAAATTTACCAAACACCTATATTTAGCGATTTAGATAAAACCGTTAACCGTTACCCTAAAACCACTATACCAAACGGGACCGAAGAAAAATAGTTATATATATAAGAAATTTTTTTCCTTTCTTTTTTAGGAATGTTAAGTTTCTATTCCTATAGAGTGGTTAGGAAAAATATGGATGCGCAAATGCAAAAATCAATAGTTAGGAATATCTCATTTAGAAATTGAAATCTATCTTAGACGTATGGTACAAAAAAGACTTGATTATGAATTTAATTATGAAAGTTAAAAACACAATTTGATATCTAAGAAAGTAAGAAAATAAAAACAATACCAAAAAGAAAACTTCAAAGTTGTAATTGTTAAGTATAGAATATCAAAGTTTTTTTTTTTTTTTTCTCTTAGTGGGGGAGACTTTTAGCAATTCCTAATTTCTAATTAATCAAAACAAAACAAAGCAATCACCAAAAAAACCTGCCATTGAAAATATGAGAAATTGAATTGAAGAAACTGGGATGCCATGTTAAAATTAGAAGAAAAAAATAGAAAGAAAAAAGCCTCTACTAAAGTTTAGGGCCTCGAAGGCCCAAAAAAGAAGGCTAGGTAGGGTCTCTTTTAGGCCGAAAAAATTTAGGGCTTCTTTTACAAGGGCTCTTTTGATTATATTTTAGGCCCGCGGTGCCCAACCTCAGGCCTACTAATCAAACGTACAAAAGTAAAAATGAAAATTAGAAGACATGAGTATTGACTATTGAGTAGTTGACTAGTTGCCTACGTGAACAAGTCAAAACAAGCTTTGCAAAAAGGGTTTTTTCTAATATGAGAATTGATTTGGGAAGAACTTTTTTATATTTTTTTATATAATTTAAATAATTGATTTTTTTATTTATTTAAAATTTATGATATTAAATATATTTACTCATTTGAGTAGTTGACTAGTTGCCTACGTGAACAAGTCAAAACAAGCTTTGCAAAAAGGGTTTTTTCTAATATGAGAATTGATTTGGGAAGAACTTTT